AGCGTCAAAGCGCTAGCGAGCAACATCACAACCAACCCCAAGGGAAAGGGCTCGTTGTATACAGAAAGTACAGTTAACACAAATCATATATGTATAAATAATTGTCCTAAGAATAAGGGGGTATTAGTACTTAGGAAATTCCAACACGAGCATAGGTACGTCGAGCGAAATAATCCAAACAAGGAAACCCTCATATATATACCTTGTATCTCAAATTGTAAATCCCTAAAATACAAGAAACAATAAAGAAAAGAATACAACCCATCTCTATCGATAAATGTAACCATGTCAAAGCCACAATAAGTGTCATGTCCAGCCTAGGTAGCTATCATGTCCAAACTTAATAAATATGTCGTGCTCTAAACTCAAATATGTATCATGCTCAAGGTTTAGCAAATGTCCAACACATGGACTAAAGGTAATGCATGTCCAACACAGGGACTAAAATGATAAGTATCCAACACATGGATTAATAGTAATGTATGCCCAACACATGGACCGAAATGATAAGTATCCAACACATGGATTAATAATAATGTATGCCCAACACATGGACCGAAATGATGAGTATCCAACACATGGACTATAAGTAAAGAGGTGCAATTGTCAAAGATATATGTGGAAAGATATACATATCCTAAACTCGCACGTGTCTCGATGTGCGGGTCTAAACTTGTGTCAAAGTCAAACCCTATGTATAGATAAATCACTAACATCGCAAACTGGTGTAAAATAAATGAGGTGATCTCGAACACGCGAAAAGATCAACAAAAAGTCAACATTTCACAAAAACTGTGCGGCGGTCGACCGCAGAGGTCACTCCGGTCGACCGCACACAAAGCACAAATCCACTGAGCTCAAAACTGAGCGGCGGTCGACCGCAGAGGTCACTCCGGTCGACCGCGAAAAGAGCAGAAACACTTCTGCTCGACAAAACACCCAGCGGTCGACCGCCGCGTCCACTGCGGTCGACCGCGAAGCAGACAGAAGCCCAGTTAGGGTTTCTGTCAGCTTCGAACCACATACAAACTTGATGAATTCTACACAAATGTAAATCTAACATTTCTAATATGTCATATGACAGAAAACAACGAACTTAAACATTTAAAATCTCGTCACTAAAATCCCAAACACATATATATACATGATTTGAAAGTTTTAAAACAATAAAACATGATTAACTCTTATTAAAACATTTTCAGATCTAGATCTCATGAATACAAATTCGTGGGTGAGCTTTTAAACATCTGAAATACTTGATTTATACATCATATACCATAATGATCTATTACTTATACAAAAATACGATTTTTGGCCCAATAAAACCGGATTAAGACTCAAATTTAAGCATGAAAACAAAAGAGGTGAAGTTGGGCGAGATGTTACTCGCCTCTGATGAGAAGAGAACCCTAGATTTGTAGGAGGATGATCCCTATCGCTGAACACCGATGAATCTCGCGAAATTCCACCGAAAATCCTTCGAAACGCCCCAAAAACGTCAAAATTCGAGCTAGGGTTTAGAGGGGAGAGAGAGAGGGTGGCTGAGGCTATTAGGGTTCAATAGAGGGTTCTGAGAGCTTCAAAACGAGTATATATACCTAGGGTAATAATCGGGTTTGGTATAAACAAAACCCGACCCGAAACAGAACTGGCAGAACCAGGTTCGCTGCGCGGTCGACCGCAGCGACCACGGCGGTCGACTGCGCAGGTTTCTGGGTCATTCTCAGACTGGGGTTTGGTGAAAAGGCTGTAACTTTCTCATCTGGTCTCGGAATGAGGTGATCTAAGATTCGTTGGAAAGCTCTTGAAGAGACCTACAACTTTGATCTTATACACTTTTCCAGATTCTAAATGAAACAGTGTACAAAACATAGAAACTCTCAACTGGTCAAAATTCTCAGATTCTCACTCTTGCCTTTGTGCATGTTTTGTGTATTTACACTCATATATTCACAAATATACATTGAATTGATTTCAAATCAATTCCTATCATACTCAACCATCAAAATATATTATTTTCACCATATAACATATTTATAATTATTTATCACACTATATTCAAATTTTCAGGGTTTTACACTTATCATATGAGGAGCAACCTATGAAGATTTTGGACAGACAGGAGATGGTCCTCAAGAACAGAACTATTTCGCTTGTATTAGTATCGTGGGGACATCATGGGCCTGGTGAGGCGACTTGGGAGAGAGAGGACGATATTCGTTAACGCTATCCACATCTCTTTGTCATAGGTGACTTTTAGTTCTTATTATGGTCGAATAAATTTTGAGGAAAAAATTTTCTTTTTCTTAGGTGGGTAGGATGTAATAATCCAATTTTTCTTATACTAATCAATTATATAGCAGGCCCATCTGTTTTTGAATTGAAAAATAAATAAATAAATAAACAAAACTATGTAAGGCCCATGAGTGTTTTGAAGGCTCAACTCTATCTTTTCCTTTGATTTTTGTTTCTTCTTTCACGTGAAAGAATTTGAGGGAAAGATATTTTTTTTTGAAAAAAATCTCCCCACTAGGTCAAATATCTCCCTAAAATCCCTCTCCCTTATTATCTCCCACAAATCACTCACTTTTTCCCCTAATTTCTTTTTATTATCTCCCACAAATCACTCACTTTGTCCCCTAATTTCTTTTTATTCTCTCCCACAAATCACTCACTTTGTTCCCTAATTACTTTTTTCTCTCTCTTTAAACTCCCTTCCACAATTTTCTCACGGAAACAAAAAAAAATTTAGAGAGAGGGCTCACGGGAATAAGAGAAAGAAGAAGAGGGAAGGAGACGAAATTTGGATTTTTCTTTTGGGGTTCATAGTCTTTTCTTCGACAAATCGACAAGCATTCTTTTCCTCAAATATTATTACTTTTAGATTATTATTTTTGATTTTTTTTACTTCATGCAAACATTTTTTCCACTCGATTAAATATATATATTTTTCTATGAATTTTAATATGTGTAAGTTATCAACATGCTGTAAGTATACATAATTCAGTTTGAATGGCATTCGTTGTAATTATTTTGATGGCATGAGCTGTAATTATTTTGATGGCATGAGCTGTAATTAGTTTGATGGCATGAGATGTAAATAAATAAAACTTTATGAGTACAGAACCGGTCATTGATATAGAGTTTAGATTTTCTGAATCATATATGACATAGAAGATTAAGTGGTTGTAGTGGTTAGTTGCCTTGGACAATGAGACAAGGGTCTCTAGTTCGAATCCTAGAGTCTTCATGTTTTCGTAGATTAATGTGTTTTGGGTCGTTTTAACTTGTACCCGACCCAGTTGGGTCTACAACTCTTCAAACCCGACCATGTTTGGACCCGTTACCAAAGTACAGACCCGTTTGACCAGTTCAAACCCAATTTCAGATCCGTTATCATATTTCATACCCGTTTGTCCAGTTCGAACCCAATTTTAGATCCGTTATCATATTTCAGGCCCGTTTAACCAGTTCAAACCCAATTTCAGACCCGTTTAACCAGTTCAAACCCAATTTCAGACCCGTTTGACCAGTTCGAACCTAATTTCAGACCCGTTATCATTTTTTCAGACCCGTTTAACCAGTTCAAACCCAATTTCAGACCCGTTATCATATTTCAGACCCGTTTAGGCTTTTTCTGATAAAACAAAAATCAGTTTTTGCACTTTTCTATGGCCAAATAAAAATCAGTTTGGCCGCTTTGATACTAAATAATTATGCTAATTACTTATTTTCTTTTTGTTAAAGTTAATGAGGATATTGTTTGATTTCTTGATGCTTATTGGATCACAGGATGCTATGTTTAATCACCTAGTGACATTTAGGATATTGTTTGATTTCTTGATGCTTATTGGATCACAGGATGCTATGTTTAATCACCTAGTGACATTTGATAGGGTTGACTATGCATGAAGACGACTTCCGTCAAGAACTATGATTTATAAACGTGTTATCATAGCATGGCTATACCCTCGACATCGATATCCCGATGTGAGGAGTTTTCCTTGATTATTACTATTATTACTATAGCATCGACTAGACGATGCACTCCTCTTGATTAGACATGTTCTGGGTCACGGTTATTTCATAGTTTTACAGAAGTCATTCCACGGTAACTCTGTGGTTAGTGCATAACATTTCATGCACAGTCACTAAAAATTTAATCGAGGAAACCGATTTATATACATGAAAATATTCTTCTCTGATTCAAATAACTTTTAAAATAATAATAAATCTGCTTGTGTGTTTGATGATAGACATTGTTTGATCTCTATGGTTTGTAAATTTCTTTTATCACTATTTATTTATAATTTATTTTTCCTTTATATGCCATTTACACTTACACGTGCACTATCCCTTCATTTTACATGCTTGTTGGGAGTTTTCTGACTCCCCTGTGGTTTGTATGCCCCAGATTCGGGAACTGTTCTTTCTTCGTAGGACCGAGAGTATTTCGAGGAGCAGGCTCAGCTGTAGTGATTACAGCTCCTTCTATCAGTTCTCCAGTTCAGTTGATTTAGGTAGTTTTTTTTTGTTTAGGTTTTCCCTTTGTCACAAGTGGTTCTCCGGACTATGGTGTATTTTTTTCCTTTCTCTTTAGAGATTTGTGGACTTGTCATAGAACTATGGAAATTTCTGATATTTCTTTATCTATACATTCCTTTTTATTATCTTGGTTGCAAGCTCTTTGGTATAGTTTTGGTTTTATCTGTATACAAGATGATCTAGAGGCGTGAATGTGACCATATGGTTGCATTGCCGGCCGAGTCATGCTCCAAACTATTATATTTTGGAACCGGGGCGTGACAAGGTTTTTATTGGTATCAGAGCTAGGTATAGAAATTGTTGTCTCGTCCTGTATACACGTAGAAACTAAGATTGAGCCAAAAATAGAGCATGTATAGAATGCGTCCTTTTCTTTTCAGAAATACATCCTTTGACTCCTATTTTTCGTGATTCTCCAGTCCTAAACTCGACCCCTCTTTTTTTAGGTGATCGCTATGGCCCCAACCCGTCGACCCCCAGCTCTAGTTGTCCCTACAGGACACCAAGTCGATCAGGCTGATCTTGAAGAAGCGATTAGGGAGCTGGTAGCTCATAATCGCCAAAGGGACGAGCAGCGACAGGTTGCAAGGTTGGGTAATGTGTCCGATTTTCGGAAGCTTAACCCACAACACTTTGCTGGGACTGAAGGCGGATATGAGGCCGAGATGTGGTTGCAAACCATGGATCGCCTATTGAGGGCAGCTAAGATACCAGATGAAGACCGAGTCGATATTGTGCAGCTGCAACTTAGTAATATAGCTAGAACATGGTGGGATGCAGAGGAGGAGAAGCTGCCAAAGCCAGTTTCATGGGAGACATTCCAAGAGAGTTTCCTAGAGGCATTTTTCCCGAAGATAGCTCGTCTTGAGATGCATAGACGGTTTGTTATGCTGAGACAGAGAGCCAGTACTGTAGAGGCATTTTTCCCGAAGATAGCTCGTCTTGAGATGCATAGACAGTTTGTTATGCTGAGACAGAGAGCCAGTACTGTAGATGAGTATGCAGCAGAGTTTGCCAAGCTCAGCAGGTTTGCCCCTGGGATGGTGTCCAATGAGGTGGATAAGGGACAAAGATTCATGCAGGGTCTAAATTTTGAGATCCAGACTCAGATTTATAGTCAGAAGGGGGTTGAGACTTATACGGATGTCCTAGAGGCAGCTCGGAAAGCAGAACAGCTGATTGGGATCATGAACTCAGTGAAGAGAGGGGCAAACAAGCGCCCTGTAGGACAGAACTCGGGAGGTAACCAGCAGAAGCCTCAAACCGGAGGAGCACCAGCCAAGCGCCAGCAGATAGGGACTCCAAGACCAGCTCCACAACCAACCAACATGATTTGTCATTTCTGCAGCAAGCCGGGGCACTTAATGAAGGACTGCAGGAGAGCTAACGGGTTGTGCCTAGCATGTGGGGCGGTAGATCATCAGCTTTCCACTTGTCCCAGTAAAGGAGTTTTAGGAGGATATTCAGGCGGAGCGATAGTGCCAGCAAGGCAGGCTAGACCGGGTGGGCAATAGTTGAGGCCACCACTTCCCACGCAGCAGCAGATGTTTCAAGGACATCAGAGGGGTCAGCAATTTCAAGGCCAAAGATAGTGGAGAGGTCCTCATTTCGAGCAGTCATATCAGCCATAGTATTAGTAGGGACGCCCAGGATAATACGGTCAGCAAGCTCAACGGCAGCAGAGACAGGGTCTGGTTATGACACTTACCGCTGAGCAGGCAGAGGCATCTGGTGATGTAGTTACAGGTATCATTTTGGTTTATTCAGTCCATGCATTTACCCTGTTTGATTCCGGGGCATCGCACTGTTTTATATCTGCTCAGTTCGTTGCACGACACACCATACCCTGTGATAGTTTAGATGCAAGCTGGAGTATACATACCGGTAGTGGGGTGTTAATATCTAGTAGGGAGTGTAAGAGATGCCCAATGGTAGTTTGTGGTAGGGAGCTAGTTGCAGACTTGTTGGTGATTGACACTAACGGGTTCGATGTCATTTTGGGGATGGATTGGCTCTACAACTTCCATGCGACGATCGATTGCCGACGCCGAAGCATTGTGTTCAAGATACCAGGTCACCCAGAGTTTGAATTCATGAGCGGAAGCAAAGTGATGGAGCAGCCAGAGCATCGAGCCAGCATGGATGTAGTATTAACCTGTATAGAGGTAGAGGAGAAGCCCATACCAGAAATTGTCGAGGAATTCCTTGATGTTTTTCCTGATGAGTTGCCCGGTCTACCACCAGATAGAGATATAGAGTTCGTCATTGATCTTATTCCAGGGGTTGCACCCATCTCAAAACCACCCTATCGGATGCCGATAGCAGATTTAGAGGAGTTGCGAAAGCAAGTTCAGGAGTATCTTGATAAGAAATTTATCAGGCTTAGTACTTCACCTTGGGGAGCACCAGTGGTGTTAGTGCCAAAGCTAGATGGTAGCAAACAAATGTGTATTGACTACAGGGAATTGAATCGGGTTACTATCAAAAACAAATACCCAATTCCCAGGATTGATGATCTTTTCGATCAGCTCGGAGGAGCTAGGGTGTTTTCTAAGCTGGACCTCAGGTCAGGTTATCATCAGCTAAAGGTAAGGAAGGAAGATATACCCAAGACCGCATTCCGAACAAGGTATGGACACTATGAGTTTTTGGTGATGCCATTCAAAGTGACAAATGCTCCATCTACATTTATGAGCTTGATGAACAAGGTGTTTTCCTAGTATCTTGACCAATTTGTTGTGGTATTCATCGATGACATTCTTGTGTACTCCAAGACCAAGGAAGATCATGCAGAACATCTACGGACGGTGTTGCAAATCCTACGGAAGGAGAAGCTTTATGGAAAATTAAACAAGTGTGAGTTTTGGCTGGAGCAAGTGTCTTTTCTGGGGCATGTAATTTTAGGAGCGGGTATCTCTGTGGACCCGAAGAAGGTTGATGCGGTGTTGAGATTGGATCCACCTACATCTGTGACAGAAGTACGAAGTTTCTTGGGGATGGCTGGATACTATAGTAAATTCATAAAAGATTTCGCTAAGATTGCAGAACCACTTACTAGGCTGACTCGGAAGGAGGTCAAGTTTGTGTGGGCTCCAGAGTGTCAAGCAGCATTTGAGGAGTTAAAGAAGAAGTTGACGTCAGCACCTGTTTTGACAATCCCGGATGAGTCAGGAGGATTTGTAGTGCACACAGATGCTTCTGGTTTGGGTTTAGGTTGTGTTTTGATGCAACATGAAAAGGTAGTAGCTTATGCGTCTAGACAGCTGAAGACGCATGAGAGGAATTACCCAGTTCATGATCTGGAATTGGCGGCGATTATTTTTGCATTGAAGCTATGGCGGCACTATCTTTTAGGGCAGAGAGTGGAGGTGTACATAGATCACAAAAGTTTGAAGTATATCTTCACCCAGAAAGAGCTCAACATGAGGCAACGTAGGTGGTTAGAGCTTATGGCGGATTATGATCTTGATTTACAATATCACCCAGGACGGGTTAATGTAGTGCCAGATCATTTGAGCAGGAAGCCTATGGCGATGATACTCACCAGACAGCAGGAGTTGCTAGCTGAGTTTTGGAGGATGAACATGGGGGTTATATTGCCTGGAGTAGAGAGACAGTTGATGAGTTTGCAGTTACAGTCAACCCTGGTGGACCGGATCAAGGCTACCCAGTTTGAGGATACTCGATATCAAAAATTTAAGAAATAGATGGAGTCTGGGGAGAGAACTGATCTACAAATACATGAGGATGGATCCTTGCGATTTCGAGGTAGGTTATGTGTGCCTAAGGGCGATGTTAGAAGAGAGCTGTTAGAGGAGGCGCACAGTTCAGTGCTTTCTATTCATCCAGGAGGAACAAAGATGTATCGAGACCTGAGAGAACACTACTGGTGGCCAGGAATGAAGATGGAGATAGCCCGATTTGTGTCCAAATGCCTAATATGTCAGCAGGTGAAGGCTGAGCATCAGAGGATAGCTGAGTTAATACAGCCCCTTCCTATTTCTGAGTGGAAGTGGGAACATATTACGATGGACTTTGTCACAGCTTTGCCGAGGAACCAGAAGGGAAACAATGCCGTATGGGTAGTAGTAGACCAACTCACAAAGTCAGCTCGCTTCATACCATTTTGAGTTGGACAAACGACGGAGAGTTTAGCAGAGTTGTACATGAGGGAGATAGTACGCTTGCATGGGGTACCAGTTAGCATTGTTTCTGATCGAGACACCCGATTTTTATCACATTTTTGGAGAAGCTTGCAGCAGTGTCTTGGGACTAGACTACGTTACAGCATGGCTTATCACCTTATCACATTTTTGGAGAAGCTTGCAGCAGTGTCTTGGGACTAGACTACGTTACAGCATGGCTTATCACCCTCAGACAGATGGACAATCAGAGAGGACCATACAGATTCTGGAGGACATGTTGTGGGCATGCATGCTAGATTTCAAGGGCTCTTGGGAAGACCACTTACACTTGGTGCAGTTTTCTTATAATAACATTTATCAGGCCAGCATCCAGATGGCACCTTATGAGGCATTATATGGGAGAAAATGTAGATCCCCTACCTATTAGGATGACATGGGGGAGCGGCGTCTGCTAGGTCCTGAGATGATAGTGCAGACAATAGACAAGATAAAGGCAATACGGGAGCGCCTTAAGTCAGCTCAAGATAGGCAGAAGAGTTGGGCTGATGCTAAGAGGAGACCTCTACAGTTTCAGGTTGGAGAGCATGTTTTCTTAAGGATATCCCCAACCAGAGGAGTTATCAGATTTGGTAGCCGCGGGAAGCTTAGTCCACGTTTCATTGGTCCTTTTGAGATATTGGAGAGAGTAGGAGAGGTGACATACCGGCTAGCTTTACCTCCGTCGTTGGAGGGAGTGCATAATATGTTCCACGTATCACAGCTTCGACGATATGTACGAGATGAGACTCACATCCTAGACATTGCAGAGCTTCAGATTGGGACGCACTTATCATATGAGGAGCGACCTATGAAGATTTTGGACAGACAGGAGAGGGTCCTCAAGAACAGAACTATTCCGCTTGTATTAGTATCGTGGGTACATCATGGGCCTGGTGAGGCGACTTGGGAGCGAGAGGACGATATTCGTCAACGCTATCCACATCACTTTGTCACAGGTGACTTTTAGTTCTTATTATGGTCGAATAAATTTCGAGGACGAAATTTTCTTTTTCTTAAGTGGGTAGGATGTAATAATCCAATTTTTCTTATACTAATCAATTATATAGCAGGCCCATCTGTTTTTGAATTAAAAAAAAAAAAAAAAAAAAACTATGTAAGGCCCATGAGTGTTTTGAAGGCCCAACTCTATCTTTTCCTTTGATTTTTGTTTCTTCTTTCACGAGAAAGAATTTGAGGGAAAGAATTTTTTTTTTTGAAAAAAATCTTCCCACTAAGTCAACTATCTCCCTAAAATCCCTCTCCTTTATTATCTCCCACAAATCACTCACTTTGTCCCCTAATTTCTTTTTAGGGGCTGTTTTGTTCGCTATTATAAGGGGTGGAAAACTCAGAAAACCCCTCCACGTCAGATTTTTAGCCCTCCACGTCAGCTTTTTTGTTTCCGTCCATCTCTTTGTGCCGCTTTGGTTCGCTCGAATGGAAGAGGGAAAACTCTGCTGAAATCGCCGCCAACTAAGATTTTTTTTTCCTCTCCAATTTCCTTCCCCAACCAAGTGAAATTGATGAAAACTCTGCCACGTCAGATTTTTTCCTTCTCTGCTTTGTTTACAAAAGTTTTTCTTTTTTTTTCTATGCGAACCAAACACAAGAAAAGTAAATACATTGGTTTCCCACCATTTTTTATGTGCGGACCAAAGCAAAACAATCTATTTCTTGGAACAATTTGAAAAACTCAAAACTTGTGTTTCTTTACATGGAATTGCATTTCTCTATATCAAGGAAACGAACCAAACTTGTGTTTCTTTACATGGAATTGCATTTCTCTATATCAAGGAAACGAACCAAACAGCCCCTTATTATCTCCCACAAATCACTCACTTTGTCCCCATTTCTCTATATCAAGGAAACGAACCAAACAGCCCCTTATTATCTCCCACAAATCACTCACTTTGTCCCTTAATTTCTTTTTATTCTTTCCCACAAATCACTCACTTTGTTCCCTAATTACTTTTTTCTCTCTCTTTAAACTCCCTTCCTCAATTTTCTCACGGAAACAAAAAAAAAAAAAAAATTAGAGAGAAGGCTCACGGGAATAAGAGAAAGAAGAAGAGGGAAGGAGACGAAATTTGGATTTTTCTTTTGGGGTTCATAGTCTTTTCTTCGACAAATCGGCAAGCATTCTTTTCCTCGAATATTATTACTTTTAGATTATTATTTTTGATTTTTTTCTTCATGCAAACATTTTTTCCACTCGATTATATATATATTTTTCTATGAATTTTAATATGTGTAAGTTATCAACATGCTGTAAGTATACATGATTTAGTTTGAATGACATTCGTTGTAATTATTTTGATGGCATGAGCTGT